GGCCTCCTTCCCCGTTGGGATGGCCCCCCGGCCCCGCCGTCCACTAGGCGGGACGCCTCCGGGGGCGGGGACTGCGGGCGCGGGCTCGCGCCCGCCCAGCGCATCTCGCCTTCCGCTCGCCCTGTGGCGGCGTGTTGAAGCGGCGCGGAGCAGCTGGCCGGGTCGTGGACAAAAGGAAGACAAGGCCGCGCCTTCAGCTGAACCGCTCACGGGACGCGCCAGCTCTTGGCTGCACCCACGCTGCCAGGCCCGCCCCTTCCCGGACGCTAACACCAATGAGGAGGCGACACTTCTGATGAAGTACCGCCTCCGCAGGCCAAGGGCTGGACTGACACTTCCCTTGCCCGATATGGGGGTGCCATGGGTTCCTGTTTTGTTGACTATGCTGAAGCTTTGCTGTGTGGATCATGACAAACTATTGCTCATACGAAACTTAGACGTGGACCAAAAGGCTGTTGTGCAAACAAAGCAAGGGAACACTTGCTTTTGTTGTTAGGTGCCATTGAGTCTACACGGTTTAAAATCAGGAAAGGTGTCAGGGTTGTATCCTTTCTCCTACATGCTGTCTGTATGCTGAGCAAATAATTTGAGAAGCTAGACTCTGAAGAATGTGTCATCAGGATTGGAGGAAGCCTCATCAACAGCCTGCGTTATGCAGATGGCACAACCATGTCTGGCTGACAATGAGGACGACTTGAAACACTACTGCAGACGCTAAAAGAATACTGCTTTCAGTATGGATCACGTCTCAATATCAAGAAAACAAAAATCCTCACCACTGGGCCAACAGGCAACCTCATGATAGATGGAGAATTGATTGAAATTGCCAATGATTTCATCTCACTTGGATCCACAATCAACACCCTTGGTACTAGCAGCCAGGAGATCTGGGGATGTATTTCTCTGGGAAAGTCCACGGTCAAGGACCTCTCTAAATTACTGATGAACAATGTTGTTACATTCATCTGATCCAGCCCGTAATCTTTTCCACCACTTGCTGTGCATCTGAGAGCTGGACAATGAATAAGAAGACAACAGAAGAATTGAGAAGACTTTGAGCTGTGGTGTTGGAGAAGTGTGCTGAATATCCTGTGGGCTTCCAAAAGGACAAACAGATATGTCTTGGAAAAAGTGCAGCCAGAATGCCTTGGAGGCAAAGACTATGAAACTTCACCTCACATACTTTGGACATGTTGTTAGAAGTTATTCCTTGGAGAGGGACCTCATACTTGGAAAGGTGGAGGCACAACAGAGAGGAAGACCACCGAGATGGATTGATGTCATGACTGTGGCAATGTGCTCTAGTGTGTCAGAGATGATGAGGATGGCACAGAAGAGAGCAGAATTCAGATATATTATTCATAGGGTCACTATGAGTCATACTCGATTCGATAGCACCTGAGAACTACAACAACAACAACAACATTCCTACAGGGAGAGGTGGTGGTGTGTGGGCTTCATTCTGTTTGTACTCACTCTTGCCTTTTTAGAACTTGAACTTTAGCCCAGCAACAATAGTAAAGTTCAAAAGAGCAGCAAACAACAAATGCTGGCGAGGTTGTGGAGGGATTGGAACCCTTATTCATTGCTGGTGGGAGTGTAATATGGTGCAACCACTATGGAAGGTGGTCTGGTGCTTTCTCAAAAAGTTGGAAATAGAAATACCATTTGACCCAGCAATTCCACTTCTAGGAATATATATACACTAAAGAAACCAGAACTGCCATCTGAATAGATATATGCACACTCAACATGTTTATTGCTGCGTTATTTATAATAACAGAGAGATGGAAGCAACCCAAGTGCTCATCAACAAACAAATGTATAGAGAAGTTGTGGTATATTCACACAATGGAATACTATGCAGCACTGAAAAATTAGGAACTCATAAAACATTACACAATATGGATGACCTTGGAGGACATTATGCTGAGTGAAGTATCTTAACACACAAGGACAAATACTGTATAAAGCCATTGTTATAAAACAGGACTGACTTGGGGGAAAACTAGGAAAAGAGTGGATAGATAATGAACACTGCATTGGAACAGTTGAAGGGAAGATTGTTTAAAAGGAATCTATGATTAGACATTGTATATCAACTGTCCAGAATAAGAGGTGCATTGCAAAGTGGACTGGAGGAGGGGTGGAGAGAGGAGACTGTGCAACAATGAATGATTTTTTTAAAAAAAGTGAACTGGGGGAGGGAGGAAAATATGCAACAATGAATGAATGAAAATTCAACTTTTCTGTAAACTTCCGTTAAAAATCATAGTTAACAACCAAAATCTGAACTTCTAATTTTGAAATGTGTACAGATAAATGGAAAGTTGTAAGAAATAGCTAGGGAGGTAGGGGACACCCTTTGCTGAGTGTTCCACAGTGTTAGCATCTTGCTATATCGTGAAACAGTAGCTCAGTATCATGGGCAGAAAATGGATGTGGTCACTTGCTAAGCTCATTGAGGTCTACTCTGTGTGTGTGTGTGTGTGTGTGTGTGTGTGTGTGTGTGCGCGCGCGCGCACGCGCGTTTGCATGTGCACTTCATCAAAAGTGCAGCCATGTGATCAGGACACCAGTTACTGCACAGACCCTTGCTCCCTGCGCCCAGTTGTTCAATGTCGTTTTCAGAGGTAGTTAATTGCAAGAAAGTGGATTGCCCCTCTTCCTCCAGTGGAACAGATGGTGTATTTGAATAGTATGCCTTTGGGGCAGCAGTGAAACTCCTTACCACTAAGCCAGCACAGCTTTCTCCCCTAGTTCCTGGGTACCCCTAATCTGTTCTCCCTCACCACAATATCATCATTACAAGAATGGCCTATAAAATAAATCATTCAATGTGTAAACCTTGTGGATTGGCTTTTTCCACTCAGTGTAGTATCCTGGAGATTCAAGTTGTGGCATGTTACAATTGCTTTGCCTTTTTTGTTGTTTTTTGTTCACAAATGATCCTTTATCGACTAGTGTTCTTGACTAGCTGGGAATTGCATAGCACCACTTTTTTTTTAATACTTTAAAACTTACAAAGTTCTTATACATTGTTTTTTCACACCAGATCTTTCCTATTTCCTTCACTCCCCTCCCTCCACCCATCAAATTGTGTGACCCTATAATTTTACCCACCCCACCCCTTTGTTCTCCCCCTCCCCCTCTTAGATCCTCATACTCATTCTACAATAATGTCTCTTCTAAACCTACCTCTTCTACCATTTCTGGTAGTTCTCTGTCAGTGTACTGTTCGGTCAATTCTGGATAATATTCAGCAGGATTTTACTTGGGTGTGATATTAGTGATATTGTTCAATAATTTCCAAACTGTCAGGTCACCTTTTTTTTTTAAATAATT